ATTCAGGTCAGCTGTTCCAGCTGTGCTCCTGCAAGGCCCTAAAAAACTCTCTCAATGAAGCTTTTAACAGGACTTAAGGTTGTTCATTTAGACACACAGGAGAAACACCAACAAGATCTTCTCAAGAGGTCCAAACAACAAAACAGCTTTACTGGTAGCTTTAGAAAATCAGAGAACTTTGGCAAAAGGCTGGGAGCAGCATTCAACCAACACAAAACACTTCTCAAAGCATTGACGTAGCCCACTCAACTTCACAAACTCGAAGCCCATTTGCTTTTAAGTTACTGAAAAAGAGGGAATTAGAAGAAGGAGAAGGACAGAAATTATACAGAGAAGGACACATACAGCTGCCAACTCCTGGGTTCCACCAACGTTCAGCTGATAGAAACTCCAAGAGGAGGTCAGGACATGTTCTTGCCACATATTTGGCCTTAAATAGCTCTTGGCCTTCCTGGGCCCTTCTCCCAGGTGTGACTTCTGGTCACTTGGCCACTCAGGAGCTGGGTCAGGGGCTCCAGGGGTGGGATGTGGGGCATCTTCTCCAGTGTGACAATGGGCAGCTCTGTCAGGCTTGGGTACTGGCTCTAGGGGTGCACTGCCAGGCCAAGGCCCAACCTGCCCTGCCCCACACACGTGCACCCTAAAATATCTTGAGACATCAACCTTTCCAGCCTCTCACAGCTCCCTCCTGGCTTCTTGTGCAGCTCCTGACTGGCAGAACAGGGGAACAATGAAAAGTTCTTGACTTAGGGTAGAGACTGATATGCAACAACCTAAATTAAACACTCATGTGTTACCAACACTGTTCTCATCCTAAATACAACACAGCACTGTAACAGCTACCAGGAGTAAAATGAACTCCAGCCCACACAAAACCAGGACAAGCTCTGAGGAAAGTCAGGCTCCATCTTCTTGGCACTCTTGCGTTGGACCAGCAGAGAGTTTCCCTTCTGCTGCCTTCCTAAAGGCTGAACAAACCCAGTTCTCTGGCACGTTCTGTTAATTTAATCTGTTACATTTTCCTTTCCTTGCCACCATCCTGGTGGCCCTGCTGAACTCGTGATGTTGGCATTGTGCAGGAGAAAATGCAAGAATTGGTAAGGTAACAGTAATGAGAGTAACAATTGCTATGAGATTTATAATTCATGCAGCAGAAGTTACTTCAGTGTTTTGGGCGAACTGATGGGAATGAGACAGCTACTCCATGGAGGCGAATCACAGAATTTTAGCATAAAATTAAAAGATTACATTTTTTTAACTTCTTTGTGGAGAAGAGTAGTTACTGGTTTTCTGATGAAAACACAGGAAATATGGAGTCTCTTACAAAAAACACCAACTTCAAGTTGCAACAATAATGTCACGTATTTCCTTCTTAGTATTTATTTGATTCGTTTCATTGCTGCATTGAAAATATATTAGGGATATTTAAGAACTTAAATGAGTAGAAGATTGGAATGAATATTGGTGCCCACCAGTTTGAAATTGATCCTTGTGAAAAAATAGACTCAAAAAAGGATCATAATTTAGGTTCTTTTAGGGGCTGTGTAATGAAAGCTTTTCATGTAATGAAAATTTTAAAGTATTCAAATGGGGACTTTAATCATATCTCTACAAGGTGATGAATATCTCTCCAAGGATTGAAGGGGTTCTTATACATGAGAACATAATTATTGACTGTCATTTTTAAGTTTCTTCAGAAAAAGGATGGTGAAGACCATTTCAGTGACTGAAATCTTTCTTACCCCATATTATATGGGACATTATTATATTCATTGTAGTTAAAAGACTGCAGTAGAAAGAATATTTTTTTTATGGCTGAATATTAAAATTTTGCCTTAACTAAATGCTTGTGAACAAAATAAAACACTCTGAAACTTTTCTCAAGTCAGTGCTTATGAACATTGGGCTGATGTATTCCACCAATGTTAGGTAATGAACTGGCCAAAACTCTCTATAATCTATTGCCCTGGTTTTTGCTTTGTTTTAGTAACAAACAAAAGCAGATACAGAGCATATTTTCTATGGTATAACTTGTGACCCTCTGGGATATCTGGGTGGTTGTTGAGCAGAGCAGTCTAGCAGTAAAATGGTTGTGATGCTTCCCATACCAAGTATACCTTGGGAAAAAAATACATTCCTCCCCTCCCTTCTTTCTTTTCTGGGTTCAAATATGCATTGCTGCTCTCTTCTATGATCTCCATGCTCGAGGAGGGCATGTGTGAGAAGAGAGGCTATTTCCTGCTGCCTTAAAGGGAATTTATGGATGGAATGACAATTCCAGCATCCTGTCTGCACAGGAGGCAATTACACATGATTGTTCTTGTGTGCTTCACAATTCTGCTCAGCCTCAGGACTGAGCAGCAGGAATCCCAAAATCACACCTGACTGTCAGCCTCCATCTGCTGCTTCAGCATGGCATGAGCTGCTCCAGGAGAGCAAACAGTTGTAATCTGGTGCCTCCTTTAGATGAAAAATGAGTGAAAGGCTCTGGAACCCAGAGGGTTTGGTGCTGCAGGCATTGATCCCACCTGTAGGGCTGGCTGGCCGTACATGCAGCACTTCTAAATGTGGCCTGCCTTTCCTACACTCTGTTATATTCTTTTTGTTTCATGCAGAAATGGGCACAGTTTCCCTTCACCTCCTTGCTTCTGTTTCCCTGGTGTTGCTTGTGTTGCAAGGCAGTGCATGGCAGACCTGTTCCAGGCAGAGCCTAAATTCCCAAGACCAACCTTGGTCAGGTTTGAGCCTGTTTTAGACTGGAAAGGAGGATTCAGTATAAAATCATGTCAGTTTGGGGATGCAGTGGAATCGAGAACTGTCAGTCCATCATTTTCAAAAATTGTAGTAAGCAGAAACACGTTGTCATCCTAAACAAGCAAAAAATTCTCAAAAATAATAAAAACTAAAATGTTTTTTCTTTCTGTAAAATGTTGTGATCTAGAAAATAGTGGTGTTATGGAGGAAACGGATTTAAAAGAATTTTTAGAAATTAGCAAGGATGTTTCTTAAGTCATACCACTGGACACTACCCCTCTGGTTTCACTGAAATTAGTGATTTAGGTGGGCAGGTTCTCCCTTGCTTTTTAATGCTTGTCTGTAGTTTTGCAGCAACAAAAAGCATGTGGTGTCCATGCTTTGCAATTATTAAAAAAAATAAAAGCAAGTTTAAAAAAAAATGAGTAATTTACCCTTTTCACCACACAATAGCTCTCATTGTCACTAGAAACAGTCACTGTGTTTTGGCTTTTGCCTCAGTATCCATCCCCTGGTGCTCTGAAAGGCGAACAAAGCAAAGTGGGACTCTGTAAATCTGTGAATCATGGCTGGGATGAGTGTGGGCTTGCTCCTGTCCATCCTCTCTGCCCCCTGTGTGGGTGGCCAGTTTGCTGAAGCACAGGAGTGTCATGAGATCCTAAAGAAACAGAACTGATTCTTTCTGAGGTTGCCCAGATGTGTTGTCTCTGTAGTGACAACTCTGGCTCTGAGGGTCCCTTCACACTGACAGGCAGCTGATGTTATTTCTACACTGCCTATTTCCATTGAGATATTTGAAAAAACTCCTTTTCATTGTCCCCTGCAGGATGGGGATGGTCACCTCACAGAGACAGGGACAAGGCAGAGGTGTTTAACACATTCTTTGCCTCTGTCTTCAACATGGCTGATGGACCAAGGGGGGTCTCAGTGCCCTGAGCTTGGAGGATCTTGCTTGTGAGAATGATCAATTCCCAGCTGACACTGAAATTGTGCAGAGTCTGCTGCTCCAGCTGGGTCCCTACAAATCTGTGAGGCTTGAAGGAATTCAGCCAAGAATCCTCAAAGAGCTGGCTGATGTCATTGCAAAGCCTCTCTCCATGATTTTTGAGTGGTCTTGGGAATCCAGAGAGGTCCCAGCTGACTGGAAGCTGGTGAGTGTTGTCCTGATTTTCAGGAAGGGAAAGAAGGAGGACCCCAGAAACGACAGGCCTGTCAGTGTCCCTTTAGTGCCTGGTGAAGTTACTGAGCAGATGATTCCAGGAGGCATTGAAAAACAGCTGGGGCAACCCTGAATGTACAGACTGGGGAATGGAATGCTGGAAAGCAGTGCCATGGAAAGGGGCCTGGGGATCCTGGTCAATGGCACGTTGAACATGGGTCAGCAGTGCCCTGGGAGCCAGGAGGGACAACCCTGTCCTGAGGGCATCAGGCACAGCATGGTATCTTAGTTTGGAAAGACAGGTGTCTGCTAAGGAAGGCAGGAGCCACCCCTGAAATGGAAAATGTAAACCCCCTCCCTCTGAATTGCTATAAATTTGAAATTAAGGGGCTCTCCAGCAAAAATATGGGAGCAGGAATAACAATTCTTTATTAGGGAAGAAAATAAAAAGATAAAATAAACAATGTAGTAAACCAAACCAACACTGACAGAGTGAGAATATGACCTGACACCCTGTGGGTCAGGTTGGTAACAATCCAGTTGGAATTGTGGCTCAGCCCTCCTGCAGTGTCAGATGTGGTTCTGTTGGAGCAAAGATCCTGTAGAAAGGTGCAGTCTTCCTCTGAAGATCCAGTGGAAGAAGAGGCAGCTGCTGTTCCTCTGGGAAATCCAGTGGAGAAGCCGTGCTGGTGTTCCAGAATCTCCAGAATCCCCAGATTATATCCGGGTAGGAACACTTGGCTCTTCCCTCTGGGCATTTTAAAATAAAATTGCTTTTATGTTTCAGTGGATTATTCCCATAAACATCTTTGTTTTTCAGTTGTCTCTGACTATAAAAATCAGGGTTTGCTCATGTTGAGGTAGCATTAGATTAGCTGTTTCAGGGTAAGCAGTGCTAGTAGGTAAGTGTGGTGGTGGTGTGTACAAGTACTGAGTAAAGTTGGTGTAATGAGCTGAGCTCAGTTTTTTTATGCATAACTCCTTACCTGATACTATTTTATGGGTACCAGCCTTGAATCAGAAACCATTTCTCTAAACATCATGATCACAGGGTTGTTATCTTGTGTTCATTTCTGTTTCTTTTCAGGGAAGGATCATGTTTGCAGATTTATTGGCTGTGGAAGAAATGAAAAGTTCAATTATGTGGTCATGCAGCTTCAGGTGAGTTCTGTCCTCTGCCTCTCCCATCTGTCCAATAGAGATGGCATCACTGGGAAGGATTTACACTGAGAGAATAAGGCCAAGCACTGGTGTAAAGACTTGGTTGTACACAGAAAGAGGGTGGAATGAAAAAGAGTGAGAAAGGCTGGTGCTGCTCTTGATATCCCTTGGGATGGCTCCAGTCATCAAGATGTGCTAAAATATTTCATAGCTCTGCTTTTCTGTTCAAGATGGCTTTCTGACAATTTTCTGGGGAAAGCACTTCAATTCAGAATGCTCACAGGAGCAACCCACAGCATTGTGCAGCAGTGGCAGCTCTTTGGAACACCTCCTGCTGATCTGTGGTGCAGCATTCAAAATATGCCTTGTGTCAGAGCTCAGAGTGAGCCATGGTGTCACAGCAGCAGCACAGTTTCTCTGTGAAAGGCCGTGATCTCTGGCTCCTCTGTCTCTCCCAAGCTCAGCATTCTGCTGTGGAAGTGTTTCCTCCTGTTTCAACACTGCTGATATCAAGTCAATAAGGGCAAGTACTTGGGTAGCTACCACATGGTGACTGCACTGCTGGGCAGTAGGTGAAGCAAAACAGGTACCAGCAAATCCCAGTATTTCTTTAAAATAAACTTGTGATTCTTTTGTAGTTCTGCTTTGCAGGACAGTTGTATGAAAACAGTAAACTCCTGGTGCTTGATTTTGCCTTTTATGCACCATTGGCATCCCAACTGCTGTTATGGATAGAAAAAATCCTTTACTTTCTAAACAACCCTGTCTACTGCTGCTGCTGCAGTGTGGGCATGAATATGATTCATGAAAGGGCTAGCCTGGAGCTCATGGAAGAACAAGGCTTCTCCCCTCCCAATCTTGTCCTTACCAAGCCTGATAAAAGAGATTTTATCTTGGAAAGAAATTTCTCTGCATGGATTCTCTTACTTTCCAGTTTGTTCTTGACTATGTAACCGAGCTTGTAGAGTAGGCAGAGCTAAAAATAATTTCATTATTTGCAGATGAAGATGTTGATACATAAGGCATTAGCTAGTTCTGCACCATCACTGTTCAGGCTAAAATTCTCCTTCAACTTCAAGACCTGCTGAGATATGGTTTATCACGTGTCACTCTGAATGTTGTGTACTGCAATTCTCCCTTCAGTCACCAGGACTGAGGCTTCCACTCTCAAGCTTTGCAACTCATTGCATCTGCACTGTTCCATAATCAGCCTGACAGTGTTTATTTGGAAAATAATGCTCATTTTGTGTGTTTTCCTGGTGACAATAGCAGCTGGGGAAACTTACAGCGCATTTCAGCGTGCAACCTTAAAAAATGAGCCTTGCTTTAAATGTTACCATTGGATAAGAGAACTGGTGTTCAGGGAGCAGCTTTACAGTGGAAAGCAAGATCTGCTGTCAGTTCAGTAACTTGGATGTTTCAGAACAGCAATGACAAAGCTGTGCTGCCTCTAGTAAAGTGTCGCAGAAATTCAAGAAGATAAGCACTAGAGAGGTGGTTTAGTTTGATTTTGTTCATGTTAAGGAGCAAACCTGGGTGGACTGCTGTGGCTTGGCTGTATCTATGAGCTGGCCTGTGTCAGGTGTGATTCTTCAAGGGTCCAGAGCCTGAAGTGAAACATGGCTCAAAACAATTTGGGAGACTTGTCATATGCTACATGAGCCAGCTAGCACCTTGATGTCTGTACCTAACTTCAGAACTGGAAACAAGTGGATGAAGAGATGGCATTTGGAGAGCAATCTCAGTTTTCTTCTCAGCTGTTTGGATTTTTTTTATATATTTGCTGTTGGGAATTTTGCTTGAATTCATGTGGACTTGTATTACAAGCATATGTCTTCTCTAGATGCTAGATGTGTTCTGTATATGTTTTGCAGAAGCAGAATCAAGAGATTCTAAAGCATAGCAATGAACAGCATGTCCCTATAGCTTTTATTCCTTGTGAATGTTCTCTGAAACAGCAGGCTCTTGTTCCTAGTGTTTCTAATGAGTTGGTAAATGCATTAGTTCTGTGGGTTACAAGAGCACTCTGCCATGGAATACAGTCATTTTAGTAGCTTCTCTTTACAAAGCTAAAGAGGTACAGACAAAACTGAGATGACAGACATCAAATAACACTGGGATATTTTCTTGCATTTACTCTGTCATTTTTTCCTTTTTCTTTCCTAAACTGTCTTGAATTTCATGCATAGCTGGTAGCCCTTTTGTTTTTCCTCAGAAATTTAATTAACTGGAGGTAGATTAGCAATTTGTTTTGATAAGCATTAAGTCAGTGGAAAAATCCTCCTCTCCTGATTTTGGTTATGATTTTACTGATAAACAACTTTCCCCATCGTAGTGCTGCCACAACAATGCTGGCTTGAGCTTGAACCAGACAATGTGTGCTAGGAAGCTTTTGATGAAACTGCAGCACCACAACCTGCTGATGGAATTTGTACTGCTTAAATCTTTAGAAGGCTCAGAGAGCAGCCCGAGGTTGTGCTGAAATCAGCTTCTGTATGGTCTGGGTTTAACAGTGAGGAGATGCTGGTCTCTCCAGTCTGAGGCACTGCTGTCCATGCTGTGCCTAATGTGCAAATAGTGACCAGCTGACTTCTCAAGATAACAGTCTGGTATCTTCTTATCAGCAAATGCATCACTTAAAAACTAAAATTAACTACTGGAAGATCTTACAAGAAATAAAGCAGATATGGCATGAGCTCCTCTCTGGGTAGCATGTCTGCTTTTTTGGTGTTGCAAGTTAGAACTCACAGCTGTGAAAGGCTCTGCTTTCCTGTGGTGGTTTAAGTGTTCTATTGACTGTTTCAGGGCAGAAATCTTGCAGATCTCAGAAGGAGTCAGCCTCGGGGGACTTTCACACTGAGCACAACGCTGCGACTGGGCAAACAGATTCTGGAGTCAATAGAAGCCATTCACTCTGTGGGGTTCCTGCATCGGGACATCAAGCCTGTATGTTGTTTTGGAAATTTTCCTTTGGTTTTATGTCTGCCTGTTCTGCTTGAGTCAATAAAGACACCATGAGTATGGGCAAGTCTCAGCAGATACATTTAGGTTTCCTTGCACACTTCCACTGTCTGACATGTTTGGTATTTTCCATAGGTACAGAATAGTGATATTGTATTGTCCTTCTTTTAGGTGCATGGAAAACCAGCTTTTATTGGCAGAGGCTGCTCCGTGGTGGGTTGGTAGCTGGCAGTCCTACTTGCACCAGTCAGGATCCCATGATGAAGCAGTCTAGTTCTGAATGGCCCTTTGGAACCCAGCCAATTATCTCTGTAAAAGTTGTTCAGAAAGGAAGTCTTGTTCTGTGACGCATCACTCGAATAAATGTTAATTCATGTATTTGACTTAGCTAAATCATGCTCTTAATCCTACATGAGTGATTGCCAGAAGAATTGGAGCACAGTTTCCAGTGTCAGAAACACAGTCACATTGTTGGTCATCTGCCTAGGCAAAGCACAGTAATTCCAGGTCTCATTGTAGAAGTCTACTTCCTACAGCTCTTCACTACTTGACCTGGACGCTTGTTGCTGTGCCATACCTATGACCAACTTCCTTCTAGCAAAGTCATTTGCTCCTTTTAAAATCAGCTGCTTTTGGCTGACTGGATTCAGCTGAAAAACAGTCACTGATGTGATTGGCCACAAATCCTTTAGCAGCCACCCATTATGGTAAAGGATAGAACTTTAGGATTGAGGTTAAAAAAAGGAAAAGCTCCGTTTGCTTGTTATTGGTTTATTTACTGAGAACCAAGCCTGGTGTTTTCTATATGCCTCAATGTTCAGATAGATCTTGGCAGTGAAGTGCAGTAAATTGAGATTCTGGGAGTTAGGGCAGAATAATTCATGCTAGCAGCTGAACTATGAACAGAAGCATTTGCCTACAAGAACTCCAGCCTGTTATGCAAATCATGGAGTTCTCACTGCAGAACTAGTGGTGTTAAATGTAGCTCTTTGTCAGAGCAGCAGAAATATAGCTAACCTAGTGTGAATTTTAGCAATTTTGAGACTACTCAGTCTCTCATCTGCAAAGCAAACTTCTTATCAAGGCAGTGATTCTCCAATCATGATGTTTAAGGTGCATCTTAAAATGAATCTCTTTGACTCGTTTCCACCAGAGGCATGTGGAGCTGCATGATGGAATTTTGCTAACAAATGGCCACTCCTACCCAAGCTGCTGGCTTCAGTTTGACTTTTCTTTCCTTCTTTGTCCAGTCCAACTTTGCCATGGGCCGGTTACCTTCAACGTACAGGAAGTGCTACATGTTAGACTTTGGGCTGGCCCGCCAGTACACCAACACCACTGGGGAAGTTCGACCAGTAAGTACATTTCAGGCAGTGTTTTTTCCATTTCTGCCACTGATTAGGAATGGAAAGGTTTTGTGGTTCTGTTTGTTTTGTTGCTGTTGTGCGTGGTCGTTATATTGCGCTGCATTTTCTGCAAGGTGAGAAGCAGTGACTTCAGCTGAGTTGGGGATCTGAGAAGGGATGGTAGATCTTGTCTTAAAAGATGTGTGGCTTTTTCTTTTTTTTTTTTTTTTTTTTTTTTTTCTTTTTTTTTTCTTTTGTTTTATTTCCTTTAGGATAATCATGTTTTCCACAGGCTTGCAATACTTACTGAGTACAATATGGACTAACAAAGAGGGTGAGCCCACTGCTGGCCATGTAACTTTTGTAGCCCCAGGGGACTGGTCTGGTTCAGTTCTCTGTGGTCTGGAGAAACAGGTTGGTGTGTTCTTAAAGCTTTTGATGAAAAAGTGTGCTAGAAGTTAAAAGCTGACCTGATCTCTGGGGCTGAGCTTACTGTGATGCTGTTCTCACCCTTCCTGGCTTTGGTTTTATGTCTACTGCCCCTATCCAGATTTCCTAGCAGGGATATTTCAGTGTGCCTGCCTGGAGGGGAGGTAAGGGCAGGGGGCATGACTTGTGCTGTGTAATATGGGTTTTATCTTCAGTTCTTTTACCAGCATGGTGTTATCTGGGGTCACTCATAAGGATGTGTAAAGCTTCAAATATTCTAGGATCTGTCAGAGAATTCCTAGATTTATTTCAGAACACAGTGCAAGCAGAGAGTGCTGATACAATATCTCTGTTTATCATCCTAGGATTGCAGCTTTGGATCTGCACACTTTTTCCACCTGCAAGATAATTGTTGTTCTGGAAAGTGTTGATAATGTGCTAGCTAAACACAGAGACTCTGTAGTGAAGGGTATTTTGGGGGAGTGGGAAGAAAGCAAAGGCCAGTGAGCAGATTTTGTGTCTTTAGATGAGTATAGCTGGGGAGGTTTTTTTCTTTTTTTTTTTTTCTTCTTTCATAAGTCTTTTCAGTTTTATTTTTCTTTGTAGTTGGGAGCAGCTCCAAAGGTTGTGCCTGCCTCTAATTCTTAGAGAGACACACGTTATATACTACTGGGCTTCTTTGTCAGTGCTTTTTAGTTTGGGGATAACCCTTCTCCATATTGCCCTTCACAAAATATAGTCCCATTCCCTTCCTCTTTCTGCAGTCAGAATTGAAGTCCATTACAGCTTGAAACTGGTATTTGATTTTCTGCAAAATTCCTTCATTTCTTAATGAAATAATTCTTTACGTCTGTATTTCAAGTCCCATTATTTAAACACTGCTCTTTCTTTACAATGAAAGAAATTTATTTTTCTCTTCATGTCTCTTCTTTTGAATCCTCTATTTTGTTCCTTTCTCACCATAATTTAAAATTATTTCACTTTTAGTTTGCTCCTAGGCCCTGTGAAAAGTCTCCATTCATTTGGGATATAGGAGGATCACACAGGGTGTAGTCTCATATACCTGATGTACCTGTTCTCCCACACCACACTTCAGGGGGCCAGGCTTTTTGACAGAAATGATACAGCGAAAAAACACATAAATATTCACTTCAGTGCCTTTTAACATCGTGCAATAGTCACTGGGCTCTTTGGTCCTTTTGTGTCCCTGCTGCCTGATACCACTTTGAGTCCCACTTCTCAGAGCAAGGCATTTGTCTGGAGAAGCACAGAGTGATTGCTGCCCAAGTAATGCACTGAGGATTAGGAAGGAGATGGATGGTGTGAAGGCAAGAGAGATGAAACATTTTGGGGTGTTTTTGCATTGGGGTTTTTTTAATAAGAACTTTATTACTTGTTTCACTGAAGAGATATTATTTCAACCCAGTAAGGTAAATTCTTTTTTCTCCATTCTCTTTCCGTTCATTTATCCATGGAGAAGACATTTTTCAGTTCTATCTGAAAAATCCTGAGCCTGGTATTTCTGTGGTTTGGTTCTGAGGTACAATACACAAGATATGTGAGGGAAGGGCCTCACTCCCTTTTTTTGGAAGCATGTCTGGATGTTGCTTTCAGTCATATTCAATTTGTTAACAGAAATTTCCTGCTCACGTAGGTTCTCTGCAGTTTCCTACAGTTTCAGAAGCATTGTCATACTTTATGAATAATACCATAAAAGCATCACCTGTTTTCATATCCTCTGAAATTCAGAGCCACAATCTTATTATCACCTTTTCAAAAAAAACCCAGAATGACTTTCTAGTAATACAGATAATGAGCCAGGTCTTTAGGATGCTGTGGGTTTGTTGGGTTTTGGGTTTTTTTTTTTTTAACTTACCTCTTGCCTTCTTACGTTCTAGAAACTGATTAAAGCTTTGAAGTGGGATCATTTCACAGGCTGTCCCAGCAGCTTTTACAAAGGGAGCTGTTACTCTGCTGAGCCTTTGATGAGTGTTATGGATTTGATCTCTTTATCTCTACAGAGGATGGATACTTGACACTTGAGCTTGATAGATCAGCATTTGTGAAGTTATGGCCCCCTTGACGTGACTAAATCCAGATTTATTCTGAATCTGAATTTGTCCTGTGCTTCTAGGAAAACAAAACTGATCTCCCTTGTGTGGCATGCTAATATTAGCACAAATGGCAGTCCTTGGAGAGAAGCTGTTGTGGCACAGATTTGCTTTCACAGGAATGGTCTCACCCCTCTGCTGCTTGCCCATTGCCACATGTTACAAAGTCTGCTGGGCAACAGTCTGCAGGAACTTGCATTGCTCCATGAAGCAGAAGATGGTCGAGACCAGAAGGTGTGTAAGGAAGCATCCTGGGCTCTCTCACACCCTTGCTTTAAGTGCTGTCACAGCTGCTGCAGCTCTGTTAGTTATCAGTTTACTGTGCTGCTTATAAATGCCATAGAGGGAAAATTAAATCAAAATTTTCATGCCAAAGTTTTTGTTAAGCATTAAGAACCAGCCTCACAGTTAAACTTTGATATAAAGGAAGTCATGTTCTGAATTTGGCTGATTTCAAAACTCCTTGTTTATTGCCTCTTTAGAGGATAGCTATAGTTGACACCACTCAAATGAGACAGAAATGTGTTTTGCAGTGCAGTTTCTTGTGGTGTGGACCTTTTGAGAGGCTGATGTTTTTGAAAACTCAGCTCTCCTCTATGGACGAGCTTGCCCTTGTCTATATGCACAAATGCTGCAGAGAAAACTGTTGGTGATGTGCTGCTTTCCCTTAGAAAAGCTGTGTAGACTTTTCCTAATTAGAAAGGGAGCTACCCCAGCTAGTTACCTTTCTGCTGTTTCTGTTCTTTAGGAGAGTGTCAAATTTTCCTTCTGAACCATCACTATGCTTTTTAAAAATTAGTATTTTACATGCCAGATGAAACAGAATACATCTGCCCAGCTCCCTGTGACCTTACCTGCAGGATATCCAGAAACATCTCCCTTAGGGCTGGAGGCAGGTTACCTGAGTGCTGCAGTTGTTGTGGTCCATATGGAACAGGCTGATGAAAACTGCAGCACCTTTTTAGGGCCTTTGTACAAATCTGGATGAGGTAACAGTTGCTGATGCATGGGATGCCACCTGTCCAGTTTCAAAGAAGGTGTTGCAGGTCTGAGCAGTGTTCAGAAGGCAGTAATGACAAACTTGCATGAAGTGGGATTGAAAAGATTGTGATTATAACATGCACAAGAAAATAAATGAAAGAAATTTTATTAAAGTCTGTAAAATACTAGTTAGTAAGTGCTTGCAGTTGCTGAGGATACTCTTCTGAGAAACGAGAACAGTTTTTCCTTCCTGATTTTCTCCCCTTCCTTTATCCCCTCCCACCAAAAAAGTCTGTTTTGCGGAGAATCCCAAGACCTTTCATAACAAATTTGATATTGCAGGATGCAGTGATCTAGTTTAAGGATTTAACTCTTATTTTCCCCTAGATGCAACCTTCTGCTGTGGCTCAGACAGAGACAGGAGCAGTTTTATTCACCATGGTTGTACAACCCACCTTTGCCATGCAGCAGTATCAGTAGTCAGTGCTAAGACAACAGAACTAAGCAGCTGGAGAATAAACTGAGAAAATTTTGTGTTCTTTAAATATGTAGAATTCTCTTCTTTAGAATGTGCACAAGTCAAATTTTTCATCTTGCATTAATTTTTATAGCAGAGAGCTGGACTAGCAGAATCTGTTTGATACGGAGAGCTGAGGCTGAGAAGAAAATGTGAACTTGAAGGGGGGAATGAACACAAACATTGTTATGCAGATGATGAACAACATATGCTTATGTAATGGAGGTGTTCTGAGTCATGAAGGTCTTGTGTGCTAATGTAGGTCAGGTTTTGGACGAGAACTCCTTGATCCTTGCTTGGCTCTGCCTGTTTTGTCACGTGCAGTTACAGAAGGCATTGTGCCTGTGATACCCTGACTTCAGAAACACATCCCTGTGCCTCCACAAATATTAATTGCAACCATTCAATGCTTTAGCAGCTTGCTCTTAATTATTTATTTGAAAATAAAGGCTGTGGTTTTTTTTTTCCTGAAGCCTCTCTCCCCGTTGCGGGATATGACAGGGGACTGTTGTGCTCAGCCAGCATTTCATTTTAGCTTAGTCAGCTGCAGCCCATTGATCAGATCCCCATCTCCTCGTGGCTCAGACTGCACTGCAGCAGTTTGCAGTGCCTTGCTGGAGAGGAGGCTGCACATGCACGAGGCACTCAGTGGGCACAGGGATGGCTGATGGTGTGGGCAGGACAGAGCACACGGCCTGCGCGCAAGAGCCTGAGCAAGGCTGAGGAAATGTGTCAGCTAATTGAGAAAAAGGTATTTGTTTTCCAAATGTCTGGGCATGGTGTTAAAAATAAACTTTGCTGCAGTGAGTAAGGGATTAGAAGAGGAGATGATGGCATGTTTTTCTAATAAGTAGTTTTCCTCCCCCCCCCCCACTGGAAAATGAGCTATAAAATAACACAGAGGACAGGAACTTCTACATCCTAATACCCCAGATACTCAGACAGAGAAGCCCAGTAGCTTTATACCTGCT